GTCCCTCTTGTTTCTCCTGCCGTCCAGAGCCTGGGCTTCTGCCTCAGTTTCCCTGCCTGATTAACCGGACGACAGACCACCCCTGCTCCCCCCCACCCCTGAGCCGTGAAACGTGTCCCCGGCGGCGGAGGCGCAGGTGTGCACCACCGGCGAGGTGGACCTAGGCTCCCATCTCCATCCCCGGTCCAAATGCTGAATCCGGACCCTGGTCCACGGAGAAGACACGCCACGTGGCCGCTGGCAGACGTAGGGGGAGGACGCGGTGAAGGGTCCGCACTGTGTGAGCAGGGAGACACCCCCCCTGGTCTAAGCCTTGGGGAGACCCACCGGGGTGGGGGGTGCTCACTGTGTGTGTGTGTGGGGGGGCGGTGCTCTGGCCCCCAGAGCCCGGTCAGCTTGAATGCTTCCACTTCTGCCTACCAACCAGCCTGGGCCCCTTCCTGTGCCCCTTGACCCTTTCTCACGGACTTGGACTTGGTGATGTCCTGGTCGAGTGTGGCCCCAGAATAGAGCTGCACTGACCCTGTCAAGTGGTGGTAGCAGCATCGGCGCGGGGAGGGGAAAAAATCAGACAAAATAGTATGAATGGAACCCTGGGGTACCTAAATAAATGAACAGGGGAAAGCAGTAACCTTGACCTTGGGGGTGACCTGATGAAAATAGACTACTATAACCGGCCCCACCCGCCCAAAATAGAACTGGATTAATACCCTAAATTTCTCCTGTCCAAAAGACTGGTTTCCTCTATGGCAACCTGTGCCCAATAAAAGACCCGAGGTCCTGAAAAACTTGCAAGGATATAGAGAAGCATGTGGGAGCTGGAACCCCAAAGAAAGTCAGACTTGTGGGAGGAGTGGAGTGAACTAAAAGTGGAGAGGGCTAGAAACCAGCAGTTACTGGTTTCCTCTCCTGCTTCCTCTTTTTGTGTGTGTCTCCTCCCTAAAGGAAGACTTGCTGGCTCAGAAAGAAAGGGTGTATTTGGCATTGGCCTCCTTGACTTATCAACATCCTATGGAAAGAGTCCTGGGGATACCGGGTGAAGAACCTGGCTACTGACCAAACAGTGAACGGTCTGAGCCCCACCAGAGGCTCTTCTGCATAAAAACCTGGAGGTCTGCCCCTGGACCTCCAGAGCACAGCTCAGAAAAGCCTCGGTGCAGCTCCGCTCTGTCCCCTGGGGTCACTATGAGTTGAAATCAACTCAGTGGGCAGACTAAAACATGTGTAGAATGATTCCATAGGGGGATGATGACTCTCACAATCTGTAGACAGGACCCCTCCCCTGAGAGGAAAAGGGATCGGAAGCAGTCCTTATTTTCAGTCTCCTGCTCCTGCTCTGACTGGCCAGTGCCCTGCCTTCCCTCTGGGAAATGGAGTCAGGCCTGAGCACAAACAAGTCTGACAACCTCTTGCAGCCTTTCTTCTCTCGGCAGTGTTTCAGCTGCAGCTGCTTTGATCATCAATATTGACTTTGGCTGGCGGGCAGTTATACCCCCCCACCCCCACGCACGTGATTTCACCCGAACTCCCCAGATAACAAGCAACACTGCCCTCTCCTGGAGCCGTCCACGATAGCCCCGTGGAGTTGAGGTCCCAGTCTCCACCCCTATTTCCTTGCCCTTTCTTTTGTCCTCTCTCATCTCCAAGGGAACTTCTTCTCCAAGCTTTTCTTTACACTCCCTCCTGTTCCTCTTGGTAAACCAGTCCCTAATCTCGTCTCACCCCAGATTGGAAGGTGTGGCCCTTCTTGATACTCCCCAGAGCTGTCACCAGCCACCCTCAGGTTTCCATAGCTCCATTGCTCAACAATCTGCCTGGGTAACCATTAACCCAGCCCTCAACTCCCACCCCCACCCCCATCCCCACCCAGCCCTCTCTGTAGAGACTTCAACAATGGGTTAGCCGGGAAGGGTGGCACAGTGGGTTAAGCACTGGGCTGCTAACGTCAAGGGCAGTGGTTCAAACCCACCAGCTGGTCTACGGGAGAAAGATGAGGCTGCCTGGTCTCATAAAGATTTCGCTTCAGAATCCCTATGAAGAAATTCTGCTCTGGGCCACTGTGCATTGGAATGGGCTCAATTGGTGACAGCAGGGTTTTGGTCGGCAGAGCCAGGTCATCTCACCTCCACTACCTTTCAAAAGGTCTTGGGTGGGTGGGATCTCTCCATCTCTGACCACCAGGAACAAGGATCTATTTAAGGGATTTATTTTGTTAAGTATATATCTGCTTATTTCTGTCTCTGTCACCAGCACTCCCTCCTCAGACACTCAAAATATAAACTTCAAAGAGCAGGGGGAAGGCAGGGAGAGGTGGCAATGATCAACATATAAACCCCCCAGGAGAGGAACAACAGAAACCCTGGGGTCACGGTCAGTATAAGATGTGAAATAATAATTTATAATTTATCCAGGGGCAACGAGGGGGGGGGGAAGGAGAGGGAAAGAGGAGCTGGCATCAAGGGCTCAATAAAAAATAAACATCTAGAAAATAATGATGGCAACATAGGTACAAATGTGCTTGATACAATTGGTGTACAGATTGTTACAAGAGCTGGAAGAGCCCTCAATAAAATGCTTAAAATAATCAAGGGCTCATGCTGGAGGGGGGAGCGGGGAGGGAGGGGGAAAATGAGGACCTAATGTCGGGGGTTTAAATGGAGAGAAAATGTTTTGAGAAACGATGTACAAATGCGCTTTACACAATTGATGTGTGTATGGATTGAGATAACAGTTGTATGAGCCCCTAATAAAATGTTAAAAAATAGAATAAAATAAAAAAAAATAGAATAAAACAAACAAACAAAATAGAATAAAATAAAATAAAAAAAAATAAATAAAAAAACAACCTTATCACCTTAAAAAATGCTTAAAATATCTATAGTATATTTTCTATATATATAAAAACTTCACGGAGCAGGGACTAAATCAAATTATGTCACTGCTTCAAGTCCATCCTCTGACCCCAAGAAGGCACTAAATAAATAGTTCTGAATGAATGGCACGCCTGTTTTTAAGTGTGTGTGTGTGTGTGTGTGTGTGTGTGTGTGTGTGTGTGTGTCTAGGGATATGGAGGTATTCCAGTAGAGATGTAGGTGGTCTTATCATATCTATTTCTCTGCTGGAATTTGGTGTAATTTGAGGGCCTGATAATTCTAAATTAGGCCCTGAGATGCCCTGTGGGGGTGGTCGTACTTTGCACCCAGAAAATAGGCAAAGGAGGGTGGAGATCAGAGAAGTCTCACTTCTTATATCCGTTTATTTATTTAAAACACTCATGTAGCTCTTGCTATGTTTGACAGGCACTGCTCTAAGCTCCTTATACATATTAACTCAGAGGGGACAAATATTAACTTACTTTTTGGCACAAGTTGAATTAATGTTGCTTATCGCCACTCTCTGAAAGAGCACCGGTGGCAAGTGGCTTAAGCCTTGGGCTGCTGCCCATGAGGTCTGCTTCCCCCAACAATGTAGTTCAGAAAATCCTGAGAAACAATTGTACTCTGTCCTAGAGTCGCGAGGCAGCGGCATGGACTGGGTATGCTAACCCTCCAGAAAGAACGTGACTCTGGCCCTTTAAGGTCGGGCTCCTCCCCCAGCCAGCCCAGCGCCCCCAGCCCTTTCCAGGAAGCGTGGGGGCCCCCGCGGGGCTGCAGGCTTTCTCTCCTCAGGCTCCGCCCCGGGTCAATCAGAGCCCCGAAACACCAGGGGCCAGCGGCTGCTTAGCAACGGTAGGGGGCGGGAAGTTTGAAGCTTGGGGGCACCGCCCAGAAGGTACATAGACCAATCAGCATCCAGCTTCCTCGCGCCTGCGGTCCCCTCCTCCTTCTCATCGCGCTCGATCCGGCCAATCGCAGCTAGGAGGGCGGGACGTGTGCGCGCGCACCCCGCCCTCGCGCCGGCGCGCCCTTCCCGCGGGCTGGCCCCTGAGGTCTGAGAGAGGCCCACTCGCGCCCCTCGCTACCTAGGTGACGGAAAAGGCGGGAACACGCCGCGCGTGGCGGCTGCCCAAAGAGGGGATTCTGGAGTTGGGGGGCAGCGAAGCTAGGGGGACGCGCACGACGCGTCGGTCAGGGCCCACTGTCCACTGATCGCGCCCTTGCGAAGGCCAACCGCTGCGCGACAGAAACTACCTCAATGAGATGCCCGAGATCAGATCGCCCCTTCAAAGCCCCCCTCGTCCCTCCTCAGAAATCCGCCCCGGTGGTGCCTTTCGGCGTCCCACCCCGCCCCGAACCGCTGCCGCCGCCTTGTGTGTTTCTGCAGCGCCGTCGGCCATGGCCTCCGTGAGCGCGACCCCCGGCCGGACGCC